ATAGGAACGAGCCAATCCCGTGACTAAACACCCTCCGGTAATGAAAGCTTCTTATCTGCGCAGATTAATTAATATCCTTTTCAAGAATATTAATTACGAGGTACGACCTTTGGTATATGGATGTCTCAAGTAAGTTTTCGTGGATACCCGGCCTGGCATTTACGCCGGCTTAAATAAGAATGACTACAAAATCTTACACTAAACGGTGTTGGTGGTTTTCTGAATCAGTAAAAAAACTCAAATGACCTATCGACCGGATTCAGGTACAGGTTACCAGAAAAGTCTAACAGTTGGTACAAGGGAAGTTCCACACATGCAAATTCTTGAATCCAAGAAGTTGAAGAACCTTCACGCAACATTAGCCTGTGCACTATATTTTACCGCGATCTATGTTGCCCTTTCTCTCAAGGATTTTAAAAAATACGCAAGAACAGAAGCAGTTGATTGCACAGAACTTTATGTAAGGCCTTTCACTAAGTGCACTGTAATCACGTTGTTTCTGTTTTTTGCAGTGCATTTGCGCAGACAGTAATTGACATTTCCCAATCGAAAAACCATTTTTCTTCTACTATAACATGAGAATAAGGCGAGATAAAATGGCTTACCACAATCGTGAATATTCAGCGTGCTTTTTGGCAAGGAAGCTATCGAAAACATTAGTCATCAATACACGATGAATCAAAGTTACAATCAGCTGCAACTTCTTTTCCGGATTAAGCTCGTAAAATTCTGTCGTACTTAACTCCTCTACTAATTTTTCCTGAAAGTACGAAGAAACTGAACAAACTGCAGCGCGAAGGATAAACGGCAGTACGGTAAAAGAGTCAAACGTATACGAACAAACGGAACTCATGTCGCTCGTACTGCCATCGACGTCGTCATCGTCGTCAGAATCATGTCGCCGTAGGCACAGTCGCAGCAACTCCGCGGCCGTGTATTGATTGATCTGGATATCGCACAGTTTCACGCCCAATTCCTTGTAGTTCTAATATGGCAAATATCGACTGACCGCTGAGACAATATGATAACAAAAATAATCGGCATACCTGGGCTATATCATCGTTCAGAATCAAGTGTAACAGGGCACAGATGATGTCCGCTATCCGAGGGTAGCCTGCTTCGCCGATCATAAGACACCGTATCAATTCAGCTAAAGGAAACGAAAACGCCGCTACTAAAAAAGCGTTACGGAAGTACAGCGTAAAAACCTGGAGTGATTTTGATGCAGTCACGTGATGAAATCAAATTCGAAAAGGTATCCAGGAAAAGTGTCACCTTTATCACGCTTCCAAAGAGTTCATTTGGAAATCCATCAGGTGTCGGAGCCAAGGAGGGAACCGGGAGTGCGCTGGCTATCTCTAACCTGGTGTCTTCACGCTTTTGCTAAAACAAGATAGCGTTAGTTATTTAGTCTTACTTTGCATACAAAAACGTTAAACTTTCCAAACTCAAGTACCTTAAAGTATTTCCAATTTACTCTTTCATTCATGCACATTTAGGAATTAAAATAAAAAATACTTGCGAATTCGCCTGTGTAGCAGTCGAAAGTTCGATAATAACTTTGGACCGGTTGTCAACAATCACGCAGAGTAAC